TAAAAAGCTGTGAGTAAGAAAGCTCTTTGTGTCTGACCAAGCAGTCTTATGTGCTAGCATTCGTGGAACTAAAGAACCCAATCCATTGTCAAATATCAAAGTTTGAAGAGGTACCTACCTTGGGTATACTTGTAAGAGTTTTATGGGTTTAACTTTTCTATTTAGGTTTGATTTGTTTGGAGTTAATTTTCATTTATGGTGAAAGAAGACTGCATTGCTTTCACATAGAAATTCACTTATCCAAGCACCGTTTAAGAGGTTATTCTTTCTTTATTGAGTGGATTTGTTAGCCTGTTGAAAATCAGTTGACCATAGATACCTAGTTTTGCTTCTGGGTTTTCAATTAGATTTCCTTGGTCTATGTATCCATATATGTTCCAGTAGCACTGAAATCAGGTGTAGTGTGAATCTTTAAACATTTTTCTTATCATTATATGGGGGATTTTATTTTTTTCATTTTTGCACGAAAGTTTTTAGCAATTTGATGTGCATTGCACTGAATATATAGGTCCTTGGGAATAGTATTGTCATAGTTATTATATTAAGCCTGAAATTTTATACAAATTGGTTATATTTACATTATAGTTAGTCTTTAATGTTTCATAGTTTTCAGTGTATGGTTTTTTTTTCAGTGTATAAGTTTTTATATTCCTTGGTTAAATTTATTCTGGGTATTCTTCTGGAGCTATTGTAATTGGAATATTTACTTAATTTCAGATTATTTTCTTGGTATATAGAATTGTTTTCTGTATGTGTATTTTGTGTGTGTGTTCTGTGACATTGTCTGTATATAGGATGTTATACACACCAGTAATAGTTTTTCTTCTTTCTAACTTGGGTACCCTTTATTTTTCCTTGTCTGATATCTTGGCCTAGAAGGAATAGCAATGGTTAAAGAAGAATTCCTTTTCTTCTGGTTTTAGTGGGAAAGCTTTTAGTCCTCCATTGAGTATGAAACTAGCCTTTTTATATTGAGAAAGTTCTGTTCTTCATGTTCTGAGGGATTTTTTTTTTTAAGAAAAGGATGTTGGATTTTGTCACTTGTTTTTTTCTGAGTTAATTGAGATGGTTACCTTTCACACCCCCCCCCCCCATTCTTTTCTTAATATATTGAATCACCATTGCACTCCTGAGCTAACTCCTATTTGATGATGATATATAATCCTTTCAGATGCTGTTGGCTGTAGGTTGTTAGCACATTGATGATTTATATTCATAACTTTCCATGCCATATTTTTTTCTGGCTTTGTTGTCATGATAATGCTGGCCTTATGGGATGTGGTAGGAGGTACAATTGACACTTGCAAACATGAGCTTGAACTGCATGGATGCACTTATATGTAGATACTTTTCAATGAGTGTACTGGAATATTTTAGAGATTGACAATTTGGAAAACCATGCATATGAACCATGTAGTCTAGGAAAATGGGTATGTCACAAATGCTTAACACGCGCGCGCCTATTTAATCATTTAATGACCATAAAATAAAAGTCCTGGTTGTATAGTGGTTACATGTTGTTCTGCTCACTGCAAGATCAATGATTTGAAACCACTAACCACTCCATGGAAAAGGTTGAGGCTTTCCACTCCTGTATAGATTTACTGCCTCGGAAATCCGCAGGGCCAGTTTTACTCTGTAATAGAGGATCACTATGAGTCAGGATAGACAATTCAGAAGTAAATTTGGATTTTGGCAACATAAAATACATACAAATTAAAAAAAATACACAAATCTCTTGTAAAAGTTACAATTTATCAAAACTTAAGCACACAAACACAGACAATAATATATGATGCCATTTGTGATGGAGAGAATTGTAAACACAGGTAAAGATGCAGTATTTAATTATTGTGTACAGTTAATTACAGTACATACTGTTTTGTAATAACTTTGTGGCTACCACCTATTGCTATTGCAGGGAGCTCAAGTGTTATGCACATTTGGGCATTTTCATGCGCTTGAAATGCTTTGTGATGTTTATTATCTCTGTTGGAGCAGTTTCTCTATCCAGTGAAAAGTAATATCTCCAAGTTTGTTCACTGCAATCCTGGAAACCTTGAATAATACTAGGGGACACTTAAATGAAGTGCCACTAGTGGTGCTGGGCATGTGCGCGCTCAAGAAGCAGAGAAAAGTAATGACTTTGCCATTATTTTCGTTGCTACTTCGTAGATGTCATTTTGCTACTGTGATGAATAGTCATGTAAATACCTGATATGCAGGATGTATTTCATTGTACAAATTGAACATAATTAAAGCATAGTGATTCATCACAACAGCAATATTTAATTATTGTGAAATATTTATTTCTAATGAAAATTTGTCTTGAAGCATGGTGTAGCAAGGGCACTCTTATGTGGGCATATCTGCATGTGGGCGGGGCCGCCTAGAGACTGATAGAGGAGTGGTGTCTTAGGTGACCCCTGTGAAAGGGTCATGTGTCCCCCAGGTTGAGAACTGTTGATCTTAATTTGTTTCGAGAAAAGGCACAGTAATTATACGGCAATTTAAAGCCAAAGGAAGGCGAAGGATCTAGCTAGAGAAATTAATACCAGCAAAGAGTAGTTTAATCATTTTAGAAAGAGGTTTTTGTTAAACCATGGCAAGATAATAGGAGAAACATAAGGTCCCAGGAGTCCTTAAGAAAACTATTGAGAAGTAAGGATACCTGCCTGAACGGGGTTTTACTACACACGAAAGTGCTTCTGAACCAGTGCCAGACAACGAGGAAGCAGACTTAGAAGAAGCAGTGCCAGGAAACAAATGGACACTAGACAGTCTCGGAAAAGAGTTCAGATTTTTCAAGACTAACTTCTGATTTCTTTTCCACATGGACTCTTTACTGATGAGGGTGCTAAATCCAAACCAGGTGGTATATAAAGGATTGGTAACTATATAAATACATTTTTAGATAAATGAAAAGACCGAAATGTCAGATAGAAAATGGGATACATTTCTGTAAAGGTGCACTTGTGCCTGCCTTTCTAGTCTTCAGCTCTTCTCTGCTCTCAGTGAAGGAGACAAGCTGGCCCTCATCTTCACCGAGGAGAAACAATCAGTATCTATTTATAGGTGAAGATTATTTATAGATGAGATTATATACGTTAGAGTTATTAGTTTAGTGTGTACAAAACAATCAATACACTTACACGTGTTAACACTTTAATTTGTACTTTTCTGTATGTAAAAATAGCATCCAGTGACCTAGTTATGCACTGTACTTTCACTGAGTGACTGATAACAACATGATCAGCAGTGACAATTCTTTTTCTCCCACAATAGTATCAAGTGGATTTTACTCATGAAGTTATAGTCAACTGTAACTGCTGAGTGATCCAAGATAGCTCTTTTCAGATGTCTGTATCTCAGTGCTGCTTACTGTCAGCTGAGGTATCTCCATTTTACTCCATTTGTCCTTATTCACTACCTGCCCTCCCTATCAGGAAAGCCTGGACTAATTCTTTACATGGTGCTTGGAATCCCAAAGAGGAAAATTTGTAGCCATAAAACACTAGAGTGCTAGGTTCCCGAACTTGCCTACTGTTACCTTTGCGATAGCCATTGATCAAAACAAGTCATAACAGTTAAAAGGTATGCAGAACAGGTTTCCATTTTATTATGGAGCTTAGACATTCCATTGCAAAGGCGATTTGATTCCTTGGAAGTCATTATTATTTTGACCTACCCCAATAAAAGTTTCCTAAAAAATCCAGTTAAAAATCAGTTATTCATTTATATTTTCTATTGCTTAGGTATTAACATACTGTCAGAAAAGTGGCAGTACTAGGGCATTATAGTAAAGCATCTGTCTGTAGTTTTTATGCTTTTTTGCCCTATGTGTACATAATCTATTTCTTTTAGGGTAGAGGCAGTGGTATTAATCTTTATGTGACTCCAGTTCCTTTTCTCAATCCTTAAACAGATAAGTGCTTTGAATAACTAAATTTATGTACCGTAAGAAATATGTAAGTTGGACCAGCTTTTAAATATTATGTAAGCGACTGATTCAAACAATTGAAAACATTTTGGTAAAAATTTTTTGACATTAAATAAAGTTGGACTCTTACTATAATTGGTTTGTAATTGATTGCTTATTTATTCCTCTATATATTAAGCTCTCCAGTTTAGCATTTTGTACTACAACAGCATATCCTGATGATAGCTTTTTTTTTTTTTTGGTTAGAGGTAACATTCTTTCATTTTTATGAGTAACCTTGGGCTTGCTCGCCTGAATTTCTATCTATTCCCTATTCTCTAGTTTCTGGATTTACAATTCAGTGCTAAGTAATGGAGGATCTGCTACAATTAAAATGTGATAAGGTGCTATGGAACTTTAAAGTGCTATTTTTAAATTGCATACAAAATTATTTGGTATTTTCACCTGTGCTTAGATTTAATAAAGTGACTTTGTGAAACTGATTGTAATGATCTACATATAACCCCTCCCTGGGTGACGGACAACAGAAAAGTGGGTGAAGGGAGACATTGGTCAGTGTAAGACATGAAAAAATAATAACATAAACTTTCAAGTGTTCGTGGGGGAGGGACAAAAAAATTGAGGGGCTTATCCCAAGGGCTCAAGTAGAAGGAAAATGATTTGAAAATGATGGCGACAGATGTACTTGACGCAATGTATGCATGTATGAATTTGATGAGAGCTGTTTGAGCCCCCAATACAATGATTTTTTAAATATATATATATATATATATATGTATATGTAAATGTAGCAAATAGTCCATAGACTTCAGTTCTTTATTGGTATCTTTTTGGCTTGATCAAATACAAGAAAATAGAAATTATTTAAAAATAATATAGTATTATTATTTGTCTATATGTAAAAGAACTATGATTAGAGGGAATGGTTTTTTAGTCTTTTCACAGAACTATTCTTTAACATTTTAAACTACTGAAATGAAACTACTGAACATAATTATAAGACTCATCTATATTACAAAGATAGTATAATTTAAATTTAATTTTGCCTCTTCATTTTTAGAAATACAAAGAAAAAGACAAACATAAGCAAAAACACAAGAAGCAACCAGAAGCATCACCATCCTTAGTTCCATCTTTGACTGTCACTACAGAAAAAGTAGGTTTTTAAAGTGCCATATTTGTTTTATATGATAACTGATTATATGCTGATGCGGTTTTATTCTGGGAATCCTGATTCCCTCTTAGTTTCTTCTTATCTACATCAAGTACTTAGTACTTCCATATAATCCTTTCATCCTATCACTTGCTTATTCTAAACTTATTGTTAGTGAATCTAAGTAAGGATAAAAAGGGGGAGATGTAATTGAGATTAAGAATTTTGGCTGAAGAGTGGACCTGGTGCACCTGTGATTCTGAATTTTGGTCCCAATAATTGGTTGAGTTCTTAGGCAAGGTAATTAAGTTCTCTATAACGGAATCTGATTAACTGTAGAAAGGCAAAAATATTTATAGGAGTTGAACGATTTAATATGCATAAAGCAATTATAACAACATTTTAATATTAAATCCTATTATAGTTATTATGTGATAAATTGTAAATGATAGAAGTGTAGGGACATTTTAGAATTGTTAGTCTGTGGCAAAAATTTTAGTTTGAAAATAATAAATTTCTTGGTCTTTATAGTCAAATTGTATGAAAACAAACCTTTTAGTGCAGATCCCCCTTTATTAAAAATAAAAGCTAAAATTTAAAATTGTGTATTAGGATGGAGGTTTATGTATCAGATCATCAATTTGTGTTTAACAATTTAAGCTACTTATTCCCTCCACCAAGTAACATACTTCATCCTATCTTTGGTTTTTCCTCTCCCTTTTGTGGATTACTGCGTTTTCCTTTCTCCAAATTTAACACTTCTCTATCCCAACAAGCAAAAGCTCCAGTGGTGTAGGTGGTTATGCAGTGGGGCTAATAATCACATGGTCAGTAGTATGAAACCACCAGCCACTCCGTGAGAGACAAAGAGACTGTCTACTCCAGTAAATATTTACTGTCTCACAAACCCACAAGAGTACCACGAAGAGTCAGAATCGACTCAGTGGAATGAGTTTGATATCCTGACAACCTGGATCAATAACCAATCCATTAAAACCAAACCTATTGATTCTGACTTATTGTAACACTATAGGAGAAGATAGAACTGCCCCATGGGGTTTCCAAGGTTGTAACCTTGTGGAAACCAACTTCCACAACTTTGTTCTGCATAGTGGCTGATACATTTGAATTGCTGGTCTTTGTTAGCAGTCAGATTAACCACTGTGCAACCAGGGCCCCTTATCACATACCCAAATGGACTTAGAATAAAATTCTGGTTAAGAATAATGCTATGGAAATGTTGGCAAGTCTAATATTACCCATATGTCATTATGTTAGACTACAGTGGCTATGTGTTACTTTTATACTGGAAGTTGTGTCACTGGTATTTTAAATAACACCAGGGTCACCCATGATGGGCAGTGTTTAAAAATATATTTATTTTAATTTAATATTAATTGGGAGTTAATACATATATCATGTTATTTCATCGCTCAATTATGTCAAGTAGTAGTGTGCAATTGCTATCATAATCCGTTCCAAACATTCTTTTTCTTCCTGAACTCCCTGACACTCCTTTTTACTGCCTCTCCCCATCCCACCCCATTATTCTACTTGCTGTCCCTTTTGGTTGATCAATCCTGGGTTTCATATACCAAACGACAGAATGACATATAACAACTCCAAGAGCGTAACCTCCATGACATAACACCTCTGAGATAGCCCTAATATAAACACACACACACAAATATAAACAAAACAAAAATACAGAAAATGTTGAAAACTAGATCAGGTTCATCATGCATCAGAGGGGGATCACCTGACAAAGTTTCAACTGTTAAAGTCAGGATTATCCCTTTGATCTTATATACTCATCTCTGCAATGCACTCTGTTTAGTAGCCACTTTCTTCCCATTCTTCAATTATGCACAGAGGGATCAAGAGGCTAATTTCCTGTGTAGTTCCCACAAATGTATCTTGGGCTCCCACTGTCACCCATAACCTTCTGTAAACCTGATTCTCATAGTTTAGGCTCTGATACTAATCCCGTCTTCGACTTTGGGTTACATTATTTACAATGCTTCAGTGACTGATGATGTGGGCCGATGGACAGCTTTTAACAAAGCTTAAAGACCAAGAAGGGAGACCTGATGGTCTACTTCTGAAAACAAGCCAGTGAAGACCTGTGAGTCACCAAGAATATTTCCTTACATAATACTGAAAAATTAGCCCCCTAGGTTCTGAAAATGCACAATGCTCATAACACTGGACTCAAGAATACCAGTGATTGTGAAGTTTGTACAGAACCAGGCAGTATTTCATTTTGTTGTTTCTGCGTTGCTCATGACCCGGACCAGTTAACAGCAGAAATATTATTAAAGAGTTACTGCATTTTGAGAATCACGTTAATATCATCTTCATCCTTGCACTTTTAGCAAATGCATTATTATTATTTTTTTAGTGTGTATTATGTGCTAGAGGCCCTGGTTGTGTTGTGGGGTACACTTTGTGTTGCTAACTACAAGGTCAACAGTTTGAACCTACTAGCCACCCTGATGGAGAAAGAAAGCTTTCTGCTTCTGTAAAGATATATATGCCTCAGAAACCAACGGAGGCAGTTTTACTCTGTCTTGGAGGGTGATAGAATCCACTTGATGGCAGTCAGTTTTTATTTTTTATGTGGTACTCACTGTCCTAATACTGATCCATTTGGTAACAGGTAGATAGTATATAGTAAATACATCCCCTTGTTGGAGCCCTTACAACTTGGGGGTGACCCCCAAAATAAAAAGTACATTATTTAATATGTCAGATAATGGAGGGTGCTGTGGGAGAAAAATTATATAGAACACAGTAAGAAGAATATAAGGGATTTAATATGTAAGTATACCAGGGTGGCAGTGACAGGTAGCTTGCACTATCCAGTCATATGATCAATGTGCTAGCATGACCCAAAAAGTGACTTTTGGGAAGGGTGGTCCAACAATGGGAAAATTAGTTGGAAACTTACGTAGCCCAAGGACTTTTCAGGCTAACGCAATAACGTGTAGTGGTCATGAGGATGAAAGAATGTTTGTGGTGCGTTAGTTAGGGACAGCAGGAGAGAGACAAAGTGGCTGGTATAAGCATAACAGGAGTGGAGTGTTGTCGAAGATGAGACCAATGTAATGCACCAGTCACAAACCCTTGCAAGAACTTTTGTTTTTCCTTTGCATGAAATGTGAGCCACTAAGTGGTTCCTGAACTGAGATGTAACATGGTCTAATTTGGATTTTACTGCATTGTGGATAGACTTACAAAGAGTCAAGGGTGCAAGCTAGAAAAGTTAGAAGGTATTTGCCGTAATTCAGTGAGAGAATGACAACAGTAGAGGTAATGAGAGGTCAGACTTTGAGTCCAAATGGCATTCTTAGAGATATGATGAGAGATGCAAAGCAAAGAGGATCCAAAGATGATTCTAAAGTCTTTGGTCTAGATAACTAGAAGGAATAGAGTTTCTGTTAACAAGCATGGGAAAGATTGTTGATGTATAGTTTGAATGGGAAGATTAAAGAATTTAGAACATTATGTTGGATTTTTATTCCTGCCACATCAAATCACCACAGATTGGCTGTTTAAAACAAAGCTTCAAACCAGTTTATTATGGTTCAACCCCTTGCTAAAAATTTGCCTTTCCACTCTAGGTACTCTGAATTAAATAACCTAGGATCTTATTAAAAAGGTAAATTCTGATTCTGTTATCTCATTCTTTTTTTAAAAATCATTTTATTAGGGGCTCATACGACTTTTATCACAATCCATTACATACATCAATTGTGTAAAGCCCATTTGTACATTCATAGCCCTCATCATTCTCAAAACGTTTGCTCTCCACTTAAGCCTCCGGCATCAGGTCCTCAGTTTTTCCCCTTCCTCCCTCCCTCCTACTCCCCCCTCCCTCATGAGCCCTTGATAATTTATAAATTATTATTTTGTTATATCTTGCCCTGTCCGACGTCTCCCTTCACCCACTTACCTGTTTTCCATCCCCCAGGGAGGAGGTCACATATAGATCCTTATAATCGGTTCCCTCTTTCTAACCCATTCTCCCTCTACCCTGCCAGTATCGCCACTCACACCACTGGTCCTGAAGGGATCATCCGCCCTGGATTCCCTGTGTTTCCAATTCCTCTTTGTACCAGTGTACATCCTCTGGTCTAGCCAGACTTGCAAGATAGAATTCGGATCATGATGGGCGGGAGTATTTAGGGACTAGAGGAAAGTTGTATTATTCATCATTGCTACATCGCACCCTGTCTGGCTCGTCTCCTCCCTGAGACCCCTCTGCAAGGGGATCGCCAGTGGCCTACAAATGGGCTTTGAGTCTCCACTCTGCACTCCCCCCTCATTCACTATGGTAAGATTTTTTTGTTCTGATGATGCCTTATACCTGGTCCCTTCGAAACCTTGTGAACACACAACACAGGCTGGTGTGCTTCTTCCATGTGGGTTTTGTTTCTTCTGAGCTAGATGGCTGCTTGTTTACCTTCAAGCCTTTAAGACCCCAGACACTATACCTTTTGATAGCCGGGCAACATCAGCTTTCTCCGCCACATTTGCTTATGCACCCATTTGTCTTCAGCAATCGTATCATGGAGGTGAGCACACAATGATATGATTTTTTGTTCTTTGACGTCAGGTAACTGATCCCTTCGGCACCTCGTGATCACACAGGCTGATGTGTTCTTCCATGTGGGCTTTGTTGCTTCTAAGCTACATGGCCACTTTTTTACCTTCAAGCTTTTAAGACCCCAGACGCTATATCCTTTGATAGCTCGGCACCATCAGCTTTCTTCACCACATTTGCTTATTTACCCGCTTTGTCTTCAGCGATTGTGTCTTGAAGGTGAGCATTATAGAATGCCATTTTAATAGAAGAAAGTATTCTTGCATTGAGGGAGTACTTGAGTGGAGGCCCAATGTCCCTCTGCTACCTTAATAGTAAGCCTATAAAATATAGGCACATAGATCTATTTCCCCATCCTCATTTATAGATATATTTGCATATGTACATGTCTTTATCT